GAACTTTGGTCTTGTCCCCTATGACCCGATTACCCACGGGGATGAGGATAGAGAAGGCACAGCCGAGGAGTCTTCATTTTCATTATTTGTATTTGAATTTGTTATGAATGGAGAAGTCTGAACAACAATTGAGTAGAACCACCAGGGGCATCAGTTCTATTTTGGGGGTGGTGGCACTCATTAGTATGGTCACCAAGATGGAAGTTGCCCTGCATGTCCACAAGGTCAGGACTCGCAGCACTGTGAGCAGTGAGATGGCTCAACCACTAAAGACAACCAGAGTTTGATATCTCCTGGACCCACACAGTGCAAGCCAAAAACCAACTCCTGCAAGCTGTCCTCTGACCACTACACAACCCCATGACAGGTGCCTCCTTCAATAAATAAACATAATTTATACAAAAATCAAAAACTCAGCCCTGTGTCACAGCCGAACCCAGAATTCTGCATTTGCTGTCTGTAAATATGCATGATGATTTTTTTTTTGAGATAGGGTCACCGTGTCACCCTGGGAGACCTTGAGCTCCCTATGTAGACCAGGCTGGCCTTGAACTCATGGAGATCCACTTGTGGCTGCCTCCCGAGGACCGGGATTAAAGATCTGCACACCATGCCTGACTGAAGAATAATTTTAAAAATGAAATCTCTTTATCTGCTCCTCCCTCCCAACCCTGGCCACAGATCGCTACAGGAACTGGCTAGAGAAGTAATCCCTGCACACAGCAAAAATTACTGTCCTTCCCTGGGGTGTGGCTCAGTGGTAGAGCACCTGCCTAGAATCCCCCAGTGAGAGGCTGGGGTGTGGCTCAGTGGTAGAGCACCTGCCTAGAATCCCCCAGTGAGGGGCTGGGGTGTGGCTCAGTGGTAGAGCATCTGCCTAGAATCCCCCAGTGAGGGGCTGGGGTGTGGCTCAGTGGTAGAACACCTGCCTAGAATCCCCCAGTGAGGGTCTGGGGTGTGGCTCAGTGGCAGAGCTCCTGCCTAGAATCCCCCAGTGAGGGGCTGGGGTGTGGCTCAGTGGTAGAGCCCCTGCCTAGAATCCCCCAGTGAGGGGCTGAGGTGTGGCTCAGTGGTAGAGCCCCTGCCTAGAATCCCCCAGTGAGGGGCTGGGGTGTGGCTCAGTGGTAGAGCACCCGCCTAGAATCCCCCAGTGAGGTGCTGGGGTGTGGCTCAGCGGTAGAATAATTGTCTAGAATTCCCAGCGAAGGGCTCAGTGGTAGTGTGTTTGTTTAGCACATGCAAGTCCTTGGCTTCAGTCCCCAGCACAAGAAAATAAATATGTGAACAAGTGAGAGGAACTGGGTTCAGAGAGTCCGGTCCCTCTATTGGCTGCACTGCTCTGCTGCCTGTGCTGTGATGCATATACACTGTCCCTCCTCTGTGGCTATTTAGGACACCTCCAATCTGCTGCTGTCAGAGTGCCTCAGCAAACAATCATGCACAGAGGCATATATCACTTTTCCCATTCGTGACAAGCATCTAGAGGGCACATTCCTAGAAGAAAATGCCAGGTCCAAGGGTGTGTGGCTTTGGAATCCTGACGTCCTCTCTTGAGTTCCCGTAGCATCTGCTTTCCTATACTGTGACCTCAGAGTGGCTGGAAACTGTCTAACCTTTGCCAGTTTGGGAGGGAAAAGTCATGTCGGGCTTTCATTTGCATTCTGTTAAACGTGGTGACTTCTCATTTGTTGAGAGGCCTTCTCCCTTTTCTGTTTGCTTTCTCTGCCCACTCTACATCTTTGTCACGTTTTTCTTGTTGATTTGTAAGAGCTCTTTATATAAGGGGAAAATGACTAGTGTTTCTTTTGTGGCTTTGGTGTCTTTTGGGGGTTGTGGATGTCACTGTGACGTCTGGGTATAGATGGGATTGTCTGTTTTCCTCTAGGCGTCACTTCCTTTGGGAGCATGTGGAATGGTCCCTTCATACTTCTCAGCTTTCTGTAGAAATAAGATCTCACTGACTCAGTGGATATAAAGTCACTCCCCCTCCCCCCACCCAACCGCCGGGCTGGGCCTTTCTCTGCTGAGTCAGCAGAAATGGGTGTCCCACATCTGTCCAGTGGAAGAGCTGAACCCATTCTTCTAAATCAGTTCTAGGCCTGTGTGGGGTGGGGGTGGGGTGAGGGTATAAGCAGGTGTGTGCAGCAGCCTGTGTGGGGGCAGATAAATACACGCCAAGGGTAAACTGGGCCTGCTGGCTCACACTCAGGGAGCTGAGGCAGGGCACTGGAGTCCCAGGCTAGCCTGGGCTACAGAGGGAGAGCCTGTAGAAGGACACAGAGGAGGAAGAGAGGAAGTTGATGAAGAAAAAAAAGAAGGAGATGGAGATGGCGAAGAGGTCAAAGGGGAGGGGTGAGGGGTGCTTCCTTTTCTTTGTTGGGACCCAGTCTGATAGACCACACTATAAACAGCTGGTACATCTGCATTCCTGAGAATGACTTTTGCAGGTCCAGTATATAAGCTCACGTACCCCGAAGGCACCCTCTGGACCCGGGGGTATGTGTGACCCAGGAACAGAGTGGGGTACGGGTATGCCTTGGTGATGGGCTTCACTGGCCCTCCTCCGCAGCTTCTCAGTGGGGCTCTCTCTCTCTCTCTCTCTCTCTCTCTCTCTCTCTCTCTCTCCCTGTGTGTGTGTGTGTGTCTGTGTGTGTGTGTGTGTGTAGTTCGTGGAGTTCTTGTGTTTCCTGCCAGGACTGATATTCTTCATGAGGGTGAGCTTGGGGATAAATTATAGCGTGTGCCCACTAGGAGGTATTAGGCTTCTCTGCAAACGTGTGTGTGAGGCACACATCATGTCCACATTGTGAGATGCTCTGGGGTCCATATGTCTGCTGATGACAAGTGTCAAGAGAATGGGAGAGGGGACTATGGAGTGTGTGTGGGGGTGGGTGCAGTTGAGAGAGCCAGGGCTCTCACTAGGAGAAAGCTAGCTGAAGCCAGCCTCCCTCCCACCTCTTCCCTTTGGCTCTGACCTGGGGTCAGCTTTGTGGCCTACCCTTCCCAGCTTGAGGAGTGCCTGAATTTTTTTTGGGTGCATCATGCTGCCCAACCAAGCCCCAATGGTATCTTTTTTCCCCAACATCTTAAAGAACTCTGTGTGTGTGGTGGGAGTTGAGGGTGGGCATGCAGACAGTAAGTACTGGCTAAGAGCAGGGATGGTTCCTAGAATGCTGGGGAGGGAGGAGCGGTTACACCTGTCTAGGTTACTAACAGCTAGGCTCTGAGGGGTGCAACAAGACAGACCTTAAGACCCTGGTCTTTGGAACTTCAGTCCCAGTCTGGTTCTCTTGAGGTCTGAGTGCCCCAAGCAAGGGTAGACTGAACAGCTCTGTCCTTGATTGTCATACTCCGTGTCCAAGAATCCACCGGAAGGGGAAGGGCAGACCTTCCTCTAATTTAGGCCTCAACTGGGATCTCGCTCTTCCCCTGTGTTCCAAATGAAAGGTGTACTGGGTGAGGCCTAGGGTCCCGCCAAGTGTGGACTGCCTGCCAGGTGTCACAGGCTCAATGGAGTTTATGACTTGCAGGAGAGTCGCAGGACAAGCCACCGGCCCTGAATCCGGGGGTACCTATCCTTGTCCTCTGGTCGCGTCTGAGCATGGGAACGGTGTGAGGGTTGGGGCAGCACGGCCAGAGGTCCAGGATGAACGCCCCGGGTTCGGGTCCCAGTCCCTAGCATTCCCTTGCTCCTTGCTTGTGTATCTGGCCGCGCGTTTCGGCTCCAGGCTCCTCGCCCTGTCTAGTCTGGGCTGCTCCCCGGAGCCCGGCTCTTGCGGTGAGGAGGTGGGGTCCAAAAGGGTCGAGGCTCTCTGCCCAAGGGGGTCCTCTAGCTCCACAAGCGCACGGAGGCTCGGAAGCTGCGCGCAAGGCCTTAGCCCGGCGAGGGCGCTCTTGAACTTGATTTTGAATTTCAATCCAACGCCAAAGCTCCTGGCTGGGGAAGGGGCGCGGTGGGGAGTGGGAGATCTAGGGACCGGCTCTGCCAGTGTTCTGGGAATAATGAGGGGGTGGGGTGAACTGCCTGGGGCCCAGAGACCCCAGAGAGACGACTTGGATCTCCAGAGAATCGGGAAAGAGGCTAGTAGGAGGGGAATCCACCACTCGGAACCTTCCGGGAATGGGAAGGTGCCGGGCTGATCTCACGCCTCCAGGTCTCTCAGTCCAAGGGGGTGGCGGCAAGCGATTCAGAGGGAAGGGACTGTGAACTGGGTCGGTGACCTTAGGGGGAGAGCAAGTCCCTGGTGGGAAGAAGGGATGTTACGTCTCAGAGGGCCACACAACCTTGTACCACCTCCTATTCTCCTCCCCCGCCGCCTGCCCGGTGAAACAACCGTCCCTGCGGGTGGTGCTGTGACACACGCGCTTACCCAGGGTCTGACTTCGGGGTCAACTTCTACATGGCTTCGTGCGGGTGCGAGTGTGTGCACAGCCGTGACTGTACGTGCGTGCACATCCCCGTTTCTCATACCCACCTCCCTTCGCCACGAGGGGTCCCGACCCCATGACACTCGGGAGGACTTGGGCTCCAAGGCGCGGTTCAGTGGCCTGGGGCACGGACAGGGGATGCCGGCAGGGCCAGGAAAAGGAGAAGAGGCTGTATCGGCGTCCTGAGATGTCCCCACAGCTCCAGCCAACTTCCTCTCCGGGAGCCCTGGCCCCCTCCCCGGGCCACCGATGAACATGCAGCGGCCCCCGCCCCTGCTTGGGTCCCCTCCCCGCGCAGCTCCCACGTCCGACCTGCCTCGCGCTCACAAAATGAACCACCGCCTCGCGTCGCCGCGGCCGCTGCCGCCGCGCCCGCTCCCGAGCTCGAAAGCCGGAGCCTCCCGGCCCCTTCGGCGTCGCCGGCGCCGCGGCCGCCCCGCCTGCCCGGCGGGTCCGGGGCTGCTCCGATCGCTCGGTCCCCGGTTCTTGACGCAGTGAGCGCCGCAGCCCGGCTCCCGCAGGCTCCTCTCGACTCTGGGCGAGAGGCCGATCCCTAAGCCCGGCGGGCTCGGGGAGGGGCCGTTAGCGCGGGCGGGGGAGGAGGTCTGTCTGGAGCCAGCCAGAGCCCCGAGGAGGAAGAGGAGGAGGAAGCAGGGGCAGTCACCGCCGCCGCCGCCGCCGCCGCCGCGGCGCTCCCGGGACTTGGGCGCGCGCGCTCTGTTAGCCGGCGACTGAGCCTCCAGATCCGGGGGCCTCAGCCCAGTTCAGGTAGGAAGGGGTGTGCAGCGGGCGGGGGTCCCCTTTGCCGCAGACGCGGGGTCTACAGGTCCCCGCCCCTGGAGGGGGAGGGGCGGGGAGAATGCGCTCTCGTCGGCTTCCCGGGTGGCGCGGGAGTCCCCAACGGCTCCCACAGCCCTAGTCTCCTCTATTGCCCCAGTCCCCCGCACCCTGCCCTGGGTGTCTGCATCTGGGCCGTGTCCCCTCCTAGCCTGTGGGGTTTCGGATGCAGCGCTTTGAGTCCGAGGCTCCAGGGCGCCCCCCACTCACCGGCGTTCACTAGGCGGGTGCACCCGAAGTTCTCGATTGCCGGGCTCCGGCCGGACAAACTTCCCTCCCCGACTACGCGGATCGGAGAGCCCGGGCTTGGGACCCCTCCCCTCTCCTCGTATTAGGAAGCACCACCCGGGACCTGAAACTTTGCTGAGCGTGCTGTCTAGGTTGGGGGCGGGGAAGAGGGGTCGCTTTGCTGCGAGGAGCACGGGATGGCCGAGGTGCCCCAAGTTGGCCCAGAAGCTGCATCCCTGAGTCTGGATACCTCCGCTCCTAGTTCAAGGAGGAGAAAAAGTGGGTGGTGAGGCCTCGATTTCGTGCGTGCGGCTCACTGGTCTCCAGTCGCTAGAGTCTTGGGAAGGGTATTGTAAGACCCATATCCCCACCCCAGCTGGGTGTCCAGGCTCTGTCCAGCTCCCTGGAAGGACCTGAGTCCTAGTTATTAACAGGCGCCTGTGACAGGAGCCTGTAGGGATTGGGAAAGACGCTGGGCTGGGTTTGGCTGACCCTTCTCAGTTCTCAGGGATCCCATCCCGTCTCCAGCCCACCTCTCTCCTTTCACTTTCCCCTCAGGTCGCGAGGTGTCAGCTTCCCCTCCCCTAACTTTTCTCTTTCCAGACAGCCCGATCTGGACTGTTAACCACCCGGGGTCAAGAGCCTAGGCCGACCTCTTGACACCCAAGCGCTCCAAATGCCCCCCCACCCCAGGTTATGGGTGCAAAGTCCCCAAGGCCATTCTGCTAGGCATGAATGGGGATCACCCTCAAGCAGTTTTGAGTCCTTGTAGCCCACTAGTGACACATTCACCAGCAGCTGCCCAGGGGCTGTGGCGAGCAGACTGGCCTGCGAAGCTCCTGGAAGGGTTTGGGAGGAAGTACCCCGTTCCCTGTGAGGGAAGGAGCCAGTGTCTTCTTGCCCCCCCCCCATAGTGTCTCCTTCCCACGACCTGAAGTATTAGAAGGGTTCTGTACCCTTGTACCCTCTCCCCATCTCACCCCAAAGCTCAGGTCAGAACCTGGGTGGGCTCTAGCATTTGGGAACAAGGGAGTCGGGTTCATCTTCCGGTCTGGAATGAGAGGTTGCAGAGCCCAGACCCCTAACAGTTCGGGGGGGGGGGGGGCGGGGGGGGAGGACTCTTTGTCCCAAGGGTGCCGTGGCCCCGCCCCCTTCGGGTTCACTGCTTCCGAGCCCGCTTCAACAACCTTAGAGCTTGGAGAGCTGAGGTGGTGCATCTTTCCCGCTGCTCTGGGTCTGGGGAGCGGCAGGGGCGTGGAGCGCAGCGATGGGTCCCTGACAGATGTCCTCGCGTGGCGGCGCCGGCGTCTCTGTGATAGAATTAATGGCTTACAAGCAAACGGCCGATCTGTCCGGTCCCGGGGGAAGGGCGGCCCATGGGACTCCCGGATCTTGGTTACAACCAACGGAGCAGCTTGGAGATTGGGGGGCATGGCCTGGAAAACCCAACCCTCTTACTAATGTCCCCCACCCCCACCCCCGGTAACTGAAAGCTCCTATATTGGATGTCCTGGGGACCCTATCATGGAAGGACGGCTATCTATCAGTGCTGGTGTTTCCCCTTCTTTAAGCTGACCTCCTGGGACCTTCCTCCCTCTCCTGCAGACTGGTGACCCTGGGAAGTCACAAACTCGCCTTGAGGATGGGGCTATATTGGTCCATAGCGCTCTGGGGACCTGAACCTCAGCTTGCTTGTTCTTTGTTGAAGGGGTCAGAGGAGCAAAGTTCAGTTGAGTGAACCTGGGGGCACGTGCTAACGCAGTGCCTGGTACACAAGCAGCTCTCACCCTTAAATATCTAGACTCACCAGACTTATAGCAGGGTTTTGGTCATGCTTGGCCAGGGGGAACCCTAGAGATGTGGAGAGTTTGCCCCTTCTCTTGGAGTTTGCCGTGGGGAACTGATGGCAAGGGTGTCAGGCTCCTCCTATCCACCTGCATAGAACTGACCAGACTCAGAGTACCATCCATGAGTGACTGGAAAGTCACAGGGACAATCTTAGATCAGTGGATGGGAGCCCCTTTTAGATACGGCTGTGTTGGAAGGGTTTCCCCCACCTCCAATCCCAGGTCCATGGGCCAGGGCCTAGAACATTCAGGCCAGCAGTATTTATCTATCTGATGCTCTTAGACTGGGCTTTGACAATAACAGAAGGCCAGGCTGGGGAAATGACAATCATCATCTATGGCCCAAGGGCCCTGCTGCCCTCCTGTGTCTAACCTGATCCTATCAGTTACACATTTCCAAGACATAGTCTTTGCCTACGTTGGGTATCCCTTTCTAGGAGTCCTATCCAGCAAGGGCTGGGAAGGCACACAGTCTTCAATTTCCAAGTTCATCCAGTGCTTGAAGGCCTGGCAGGGGGAAGGTAGCTAAGAGCCCACCACCCCCTTCCAGCTCCTGTAGGTGCCCAGGCCAGGAGGGAACCCAGCCTGCCACCCTAGAGCAGGGCCAGTCCATACACAGGACTGGATGGTGCTATGGGCGTTCATTCACTTTCCTTCTTCGGTCCCCACACACTATAGGATTTATCTTGATTTGCTCTGCCACTGAATTGAGTCAACTCTTTTGTATGCTCGGTGAATTGCCCAGCTGCTGGCGAGGAGCGGAGGAGCGGAGAGAGCGTGCAGGGGGGTACTGAGGCCGGGAATCAGGAGCGGGCGGGCGGGGAACAGGAAATGGGGAGGGGGCGCCGCGTGGGGACGAGATGGGCTGTGTGGGGAGCCGGGATCTGCCGGAGGCACCGAAGGCACCGGTGGGGCTGTGAACAGGACTTATCCAGGACGCTGTCATCAGCGTACCGGCCAGAGTAAGGAGTCCATATGGCTCTGATCCTCTAGCTAGGGTCTTCTTGGGCCTGGGGCAAGCCTTTCCTGACTCGGTTTCTCTCCTGGGGCTTCCTTACAAGCAGGCACACATCAGGAATGGTAGGCAAAGCTGGAGGGGTGCTGGAGAGCCCTTCAAGTCCTCTCAGAGGTTGGGGTGAGTGAGTGAAGGATGGGGGTCAGAGACAGGAGCATCGTTCTGGGCTCCTAGGTCCCAGCTGTCTGGGATCTGGGCCAGTTCCACCGGAAGACCTGGCTCCTGAGATGGTCTTAGTGTGTTGGTGGTGATGGGGTCGTGCGAGACCCTTGCTGAGGCAGCAGATAATCCTTTCTACTTAGACGTGCAGGAGGGACTATCAGGTGTCCCCCACCCCTGCAGTTTCCTCCGCGATCTCCAGCTCCCATGAGCCGGATCCTGAGGGCGATACAAGCCCGGAGCGCAGAGGGGACCGGGAGGCGGGGAGGAGGGAGGGCGCGCGGCTCTCGGAGCCGGACTGAGCGCCGGCGGAGCGGGTGGAGGGAGCCGACTGGTGGCGAGGGCGGGAGGGGGAGGGGAAGGAGGGCGGGCGGCGGGAACCAGCCCCCCCCGGACCCCCCCTCAGGCCGCGCGGCGAGGGGCGGGGCGCGCGCGCAGATCGATGGGCGAAGCTGGGGAGGAATTTCAATCCGAGAGCGAACTTAGAGCTTGAAGGACGGAGGCGGCAGCAGTGGTGGCGGTGGCGGGTACAGCCCCGGAACGCCGGCCGAGCCGGGCCGGGCAGGTAAGCGTGAAGCTCGGGGTTCTTGCGTCGCAGCGTGGCCCGAAGCCGAGCTTGGGCCGGTGGGACCCCGGCCACTCCGCAGGAGACCAGCCGGCGACGTTGCGCTTCTTTCACCCCAACGCGCAGCGTGCGCCCCTGACCCCCCGACTGCGCCCTAGGCCCTGTGCAGGAACCCGAAGCGGTGCAGCTGGTAAAGTTGTAGCAACTTGGCTGTAGAGGAATCTGAGCCGGCTCAGTCCCGCAGAGCCGGAGACTAGGGGTACTAATGTCGCCTCAGAGTCACTGCCGCAGCCTTTAGCCTCCAGTCGGAGCAGCCCCTTTCCCAGCACTTTGCTTCGCTGAGTGCACCCCAGTCTGCTCCCCAGTGCCAACGACCCTCCACGGCCACTGCCAGGCCTGGAAACCTTCGCACTGTTCACGCACCTCCTCACCCGAGTCCCTGACCCCCCCCCCCCCCCCCCCGCCCTGTCTACCATCCTTCCCACGGCTGGGGATCATTTTGGCAGGGCACCTGAGACTGTTCAGTCACACATCAGAAAGGCTAGGGTCTGAATCGAAACTACTGGGTTAAAACCCTGGCGTGGGAGTTGAGGACTTTACTAGAAATTTTGTGGACCCCTCCCCGCAAACTTGGAGCTGTCCTCATGGCCATTCGTCTAAGGGTTGGGGTGAGAAACCCTGTGAACCTGATCTCCCACCGTTCCTAACCTGCTTGTTCCTTAAGTTAGTGCCAGACACCACCCCCTCCAGGACCTGACAGCATCTGAGATCGAAATATTATGCTCTTCAAGGTAGGGGTTATGCGACCTTGAGTCAGGTGACGTCTCTAAGCCTCAGTTTTTCTGTCCGTAAAATGGGGATAGGATAATACTTTCAGAGAAGTAAAGGGTTAATGAAGATGGATGTGGGGGGCTGTTTTCTCCAGCCTGGGGCAGGAGGAAACCCAGATGGAGCTGTTGGATGTGTCCACCCCCTGTGTTGGGTTGTGGGGGTTATGAGTGAACTACTCCCAGGAGAGCTTGGGATCTTTGGGCACAGGAGTTCTAAAAGGTATCAGAGCTGGGAGCAGGTATAAAAAGCAAGCCGGCTCCTCAATCTCTCCTATAGACACATTCTG